ACCTACTAGCACTAAGTTGCTAACTGGTTAGCAAGATAATTCCGACAAACCAGCCATAACCAAACATGCTTGCGAACCTTCCACCTCAACAATCCCGCCCCCTTGATAATCAACCAATCACATTCACTTTATTCACTTGTGTAAAATTTTGCACACCTGGGAGAATTTGAAAATGCAACAGTCGGAACAGCTGCTTCCCTATGATTTTAAGCTGCTACTTTGTTGCTGACGTCCAGCAGACCAATATAAATGCAGCTTCACTGGACTGACGAGGATGTGAGTTGTAAAATGCAATAAAAAAAAAGAGTTCAATTTGTAAGATAACATTTGAAAAGTAACATATGAAAAATAAAAATAAAAGGAATATGAGAAAACTGTGAAGTTACACTCAAAAAATGTCTTTGTATAAAGTTTTTTCAAAGTATTGATTTTTTGATTGCATTGTTTTTTTAAATTTTCATTCCAAGGAAACCAAATGTAATCTATACAATAGAAACTGTGACAAACCAAACACCCGACACCCAATCAGGTCATGTTTCCTGTTAAATCCACCTCAGAATGATGCGTAGATCACATTTATTTGTAATCTAAAGAATGTAGGAGAGTAAATGGTTGCTAATTCCTCATCACTCTGCTGAGCTTTCAAACTACGGCCATATGGGTAATATTAGGCCTAATCCATGCCTGTCCCCTTTTATAAGTTTCAAACATTTCCTCTCAAGCCTTTTTCCACCAAAACTTAAGGCTGTAGTGTTCAACTTATTGCAGGAATCTAGTGGGAATAAAGCGCGTCCTGACCCTCTCTGTCTCTCTGCCATTCTTCCACCCCCTTCTTTATTTTTAATTTCTCGTTTTTTTTTGTTTTTTTTTCCTCTATTGCTGTGGAGCCTGGTCTTTTAAGCGGACCTCTGGAACACGGGTCTGAGATGAATGGAGGGACAGCTGTGTGAAAGAACAGGACATTTGGATTTTCCATCACTGGCTGTTCAGGCTGTGTGTGCAGCTCCCTGCTGCTGGGTTGCACCACAGATATCTTTGAAATGTTATTACAGGGATCGCTGCAAATATTAAGGCGGCAAAGAAATTTGTAAATTGAATTAATAAAATTTTTTCTACAGTACTTGGTAAAATGTTTGCAAAATGTTGAAATTCTGCATATTCTTTTGGTAATTTTTTTAACATCTTTATAGATCAGGACTTTGCTGCGTTGACTACAGAGGAGTTGGTTCCTGCAGCTCAAGAGACCTCCGTGAAGAGGCTGGTGGTCGGACCTCTGGACATCAGGCTGCACAGTAGTGCCGTCCACCGCATCCTCAAGATGATCACCTGTGCCATGGATCACGAATATGAGCCTTATTGCAAACCACAGCAAGGTTTGCTTACTTTTCTTAGTCTTCATATCCATTATGTCTGCTGACATAATCCTTTCTTCAAGACACATATAAAAGGAGTAACTCTGTAAACTAAGAAAGTCTGAAGCAGATTCTCTTAAAGTCGTAGGGAAATCATATTTAAATGTCAAATCTTTCTGGCTTAAACATGTATATAAATTTACACTTTATCAGATGATATTCTCTATCTAAAACAAATCCACAGTCTTAAAATCTGTGGGGTTTTTTTGTTATCTTATGCAGGCCAGTTAGTTATACGTCAGCCTGAACACCTAAATTCGGCCAATCATATCATGGTCATCTGTCAATAAAATTTTTTCAGTCATAGTATCTTGATTCATGTGTCGTAGCTAATAAATGCAACGGTTGAAATAAGAAATCAGAATAATTTCCTTTCCCATTGAGTTCCGTCCCAGTGTTCACAGGGATGGACGTCTGTGTCTTCAGCAGGCGTAGAGCTAACAGAACTGGCAGCGTTGCGAGGCAAGGGCTCAAACATGTACGGCTGTAAGCCTTCTACACCAAACCAAGCTTCTGCCGTCCTGGCGTCCTCTTCAACAACAACTTCTTCCCCGCTTTCCTCCTCTAAATAAAAAATGTTTGATGGAGGAGACTCATTCACGACCTCCGACACTAAACTCTCCTCCTCTAGCATGTTTCTGCTCTCCATAGTGTTCCTTAACTTTTCGTTTCTAAGTCACCAATTTAGTGCTACTTGGTCCCAATGAAATTTCCCATTTGGAACCTACTAGCACTAAGTTGCTAACTGGTTAGCAAGATGCTTCGAAGAATCCAGCCACAACCAAACTTGCTTGCGAACCTTCCGCCACAAATATCCCACCCTCTTGATAAACAACCAATTTAAATTCACTTTATTCACCCGTGTAAAGTAGGGCACCGCTCCGGAGAATTCGGAAATGCAACCATTGGAAGAGCCATTTCCCTACGACTTTAAGCCTGGCATACACTGTACGTTTTTTTTTTTGGCCTTTTCGGGCCGATTTTCCAGTTGTGCGAGAATTTTTTGGATCAGTCCGAGTTTCGTCCTACGTCGTGTAGTGTACGGGAGGTAACGAGGGCGGATTAGCCTCTCACGACCACCCCCCGATCAGGAATCGTAAGATCTGTAGAAAATCAAACATGTTTGAAATTCAGTCGGCCGTCATAGGGTGTTTGTAGGCAAATCCTGCTGTTGAAGCCCTGCGGTTTCGTCGTACAGTTTAAGCTGTAGCTCCGTGCAATGATTGAAAATATCTCACAGTGTTTGATGATCATTCTTTCTTTACGTTTTCATAAGATCGTGCCTTTAATGTTATGAACAATTCAATTCTTCTTTCTTAATCTTCTTAATAAAGCATTTTTTTTGTTTGTTTTCAGAAGTAACTGAGGCGTGCCATGGTCCATCAACCCCAGAGGAGATTTCTCGTTTAGAGGAGTTCATCCCGACCAGACTCACTTCCGTCACTCTGCTCCAAGTCTCTGTGACTGTCTCAATGGCGGAGTTCAACCTTCTTCACACCCTTCTTCCCGTCATTATGGGATATAAGGTAGCTCCCGATCAGATTGCTAGAGCCTTTTAATGTTCTTCTCAGGTCTGGTAAATGTTCAGTGTCAACATCCTTGTTTTTGTTTTTTTTAGGCTACTCCAAGACCGGCCTCTGTTCCAGTGTTTCAGCCGCTGCACCCGCTACCCTCCGTTCAGTTTCAGGTTGAAAGGGTGAATTTTGACCACTCTGTCCCAATGTACGGTCCAGAGCTGGTCAGTACCGTCAGCAGCCTTAGCCAGCCCCCAGACAACCTGCTGCATCACTGCTATGCACATCTCTACCTCAAGGTGAGCCGCAGAATATGAAGGAATGCCTAATTTAGCTCACACTACTTCAGCTACATAATCGAACCGATTCCATCGCAATGCACTTGCATACCCCTAGTGGTATGCAAGTGCATTGCAAGAGGTACATGAAAATATTGCATTTCTCATGGAATTAAATAAAATAGGGCTGGAATCTGTTCTGCTTGTGAGGACCCACCTGAAAAATGAAACAAGCTTTTTTCAACCAAAAATTAAGTTATTCTTAAATGTTTTAAGTTCACCTTCAGCTTTGACACACATCAAAACCAAGCAGAGGAACGGCTGGATGTAGAGAACAGGCTGGGATCAGCTGTTTTACCACAACCTGATCTCATCAAAGCGAGCTGAGGTGCCATTAATGATGATATTAAAGTCAAACAAATGGAGCCAGTCTGACTATAACTTTTGTTCTGTAATTGTTTCCAATTCATTAACTTGTAATGTGAATAAAGGGGAGTTACTCAGAGGAGCTCCAGTTTAATAAAGGCAGATTTATAATATGGTTTTATTTTGTATTTATTTTGATTCCTTTCCCTCTTTTGGGCACCATATTTATGTTGATTTTTTATATGTTGGAAAGAATAACATGCCAAATAATTAAATGCTCAAGTTAAAAAGATTAAATAAAATACTCCTTATTTTTTAATTAGATATTGTACATTCCACTTTTGGGCAATCATCAATACTTTTGACTGAGTGGTACTCATGGTAAGAAAAAATGTTCAAAGGGGTACATTAGTCAAAGAAGGTTAGAAACACTTGATTAGAGGTTCAATCATATGATGATTAGAACTCCTATGTGGGCTCTTTATTTTACATGTGGTTGACAGCAGCTAATTGGAGATCTTACAGCTATTACATATATTCAACAGGCATTCAAGATTAACACTATTGACTTGGTTATTTCCTGAAAAGAATATCTCTTTCTTCAACCGGTTTTAAATTAAAAACGGAAAGCCCATTAATTCAGATTTCTGCTCTATTACCCGACACTAAACAGCTCTTTGGAATGACACGTATGACCTTTGTGTGACCTTGGCAACTCCTTTGTATTTGGAGGTAAAATCCGAGGAGTGAATATCGTTCTTCATGACCAACAGTGGATCTTTGATCTACTTCAGGGTTTCACATCTACTGAGTTGTTTCTGCTGTAAGAAAGCTGTGCTTTAATTTATTTTTTATAGTTGCTGCTCTGAGACATACATTAGAGGAAATCGCTGTATTATGATACCCTGCTGAGAGAAACGGCTGCTTTGTTTCATTCAGTATCTTGCAAATTTTAAGCAGACTTAAAAAAAATTGAAATCAGCTGCTTTGAAGCAAATAATGCAAAATGATATTTCATCACAAGCTGAGGTTACACGTGGTTGTTATTATCAGAAAGAAAAGGTTGAAAACTGTTATGAACCACACATCTCAGAGTTTTTAGAAACCTGTTTGGAGTCTAGAATTGCTCCGTCCTGTTCTGCAATGATGCATCAGGAGCCTTAGAGCCAGAAAAGCAACTTATATGAGAAGGTCTGGTTAGACGCTGACAGCATTAACAACCAATCAGTCATGTGACATAAATGTTTGGTATACCATTTGCCATTCGGGAAACCTGGGTTTCCATCTTCTGTTTAGGGCCCTGTCACACCTTACCGATTTAGACAGCGTATGCCTGACGTCACGGAATCTCCTAAAACACTGAGATACGCTGAACTTTCTATGTACTTTTGCAATTTCGGGTGTATACATAGAGTATTCATAACGAGTCCAGAGCTTATGTCCAACGACAGTCTAAGTTATGCTTTATGCACGGCAGCGTAATGCCCATGAAATGATGCACAAGCCAGTGTCCTGAGGGGGGAAGCAATGCACCCGGAGGCGCCTGTCCTGCATAAAAACATGTCTTTGATCACTGTATTAAAGGAGAATTTTTTTTTTTTTTACATTTGGCCCTTTTTTTTTACGTTATTACATCATGTTCTACTAACCCATATTAGTTTTGTGTCATTTGAAGCTGATCTGAAGATATTCCGTTAGGTTATATCCAAGAAACGTCCTTCTATGGGCAAAAACTTGAAGGCACAAACTAAACTGTTCATAATTTATTCTTTATGGTACGCCAGCATTCATAACATTTAGGCGAATCACTGTCCCCCAGACATGCGCGGTTATATTTTTTAGACTTATATCTTTTAAAAACAAAGTGTATGACGTCATCCACGCACCGGACTTAAAAAAAACAACAACTTTATTTAACCAATGTATATTACACCAGGCGGCTACGCTCTACTCCTTCTATTCATTCGGCGAGCTAATCTGAATCGTTCAATTCCATTTGGAGAGTGAGATCATCTGTGCCGTTCCCCTAGCTGCCGTCAAAAAAAAAGAAAATAATTAATAATAATAAAAAGAAAATAATTCTAATTTTAAAGAAAAATAAAGAAGGTTTGCAGTTGCAGCAGATTCAGCGTCATGTCTGCTAGGAAGTTTGTTGGTAGTGGGCGTGAATGCAGGGAGCATCCATCACTCTCACCTTCACGTCACCCTATGGTGGGGATGAAGCCTGGATGATAACAGATAGTTTCCTCCAGTGAACCTCCTTTATACCAAAACGCTGCCGATATGGTATTATAGAGTAGCTGTAAGTTAGAAACGCGTCCAGCTGTCGTACGGAACACATCAAATGCTCAAAGTTTCTCAACATACTTGCCGTACGTCAATATGTGCCATTGTGCTTCAGCGTACTTCAGCATGCTCATAACTTATCCAACGAATGCCAGCGTTTTTGAAAGATTTTCCATACGTCAGGCATACGTTGGTCTAAAACGTCAAAGTTTGACAAGGGTATTGGTGGCTACATTTTTTTTTTTTCTGGAAAAGCCAAAACCTTTTGTGAAATCGAGGCAGTTAGAATTTTGCAGTTGTCATCAACTTTTTCTGATGTGATGGCATTTATCGGTTAGCAGAGCGCTAGGTTAGCGCTGCCGTTTATCAACAGTTTTCCTAAAAACTCCTGAGGGATTTTTATTCAAGCCTCTGGCTCCTATGAATCTGTTATGTGCCAACATTTCACACCTCATTCAGTTTATTCACCTCAATCTGTGAGAAAAGCACAGCTAGCATCAGAGGTAGCGAGAGCTTTTTATTGCTAACTGTCAAGCAACAAACCTAAAGGAACGGTTTATGTAATGAGGTGCAATATACTCTGCTGAAAGATCAAATGTTTACTCTGGTTTCTACCCTGAATGTTTTATTTACTTTTCTGTTTCTGGTTGATATTCTCACTCTCCATATTAGAAATTAAATATTGTCTCACCAGTCTCATCATGCTCTGGTTTCTATGTTTGTATCAAGATGAACCAAAGATCAGAAGCAAGAAAAAAGATTAATGAAATACAGTAATTGTTGTCAACAATTATCATGATCAGCAGATGAAATATATAGAAAAGTTTAACCTCTAAATTACTTTGGTCCCATCTATCCAGCATAGTCAGCACATTTAAAGAGGATTCAGCCTCACTTTTGCTCATGCTTTAACTAAATTCAGTTTGTTTCTTTCTTTTTTTTCCAATAGAAAATAAAATAATTTTCTGTTTGAATAAAATTCTTTCCGAATTATATATAAAGTGTTAAGTTTTTCTAAAAAACGAGCTGGTTTGACCCCGTCCAGTCTTCCAGGTTGTTTTTAAAAGCAGGATGTTTACGGGATGTCTTTCTGGACGTCCTTATCAAAGGGTCACAGCGAGGTTAACAGTCAGCTGGCCACTCGCCCAGGATCCTGGTGACCCATCCCTGTCGGTGTTATTAACTCTGCCTCTGGATTTTGGCAGCCGGACCAGAACAAGGGTGGAGGTCACTCTGGTGGCAATTCACCTAATTCAGGAAGTGGTTTAAAAGAGCTTATCTTAATCTACCTTTATTGATGCTTTCTGTTGGTGACATGGTATCTGTCATCAGGGGAGGGGTCAGCTAATTTCTCACTTTAGCAAGATTATTGGTAGGAGCTCAAAGTGGTTGTTTGCTTTACAAGGTCATAATGGAGAAGTGACTCTACTAGGGTGTGTGTTTGAGTGGGGGGCATGAAGTCGTAGATTAACTTTTTGGATTTGCAGATTGTAATTTAAATGGAATATGGGTCATTACTAGGTTTTATTCAACAGTGTGATTTTAGTCCTCTGCTTTTGTTTTGTTTCTGTTTTTTTAACCCCTTCTTGTTTTTAACCTACCCCTCGTCTGTGCAGGTGTTTGGGTTCCAGGCCGGCTTAACATGCCAGGATCGCACGGGGAGCTTTCTGCCTCTCATCTCCATCATCCCTGCCTTCAGCACAGCCATCTATGGGAAGCTCATACAGCTGCCTGCTCTTTGGTGAGTGTTGAAAGTTGAGGTCGATGGATACCGATGATCTTAACAGTCGAACGTTCAGAGACACCAATGGCACTCTGGACCCTTTACAATGGCTGTTAATGATTAACAACTAATAGTTTTGAAGAAAATATAACAGATTGCATTCTTAGAAGCTCCAGGTTTTTGAACGGATATTCTAACTAAATGTTCCCAAATTACATTAAAAGAACTGGAGATGTATTTCCATCTACTTTTTTGTAATAATCTTTAGTTTTTTTTGTTTTCTGTTATACATTTTTCAACAAATTATATTCTATAGAGCAAAGGTCACGTATTAGTCTGGATCCGGACCCACCTGCTGGCTAATCTGGACCCAACCTGATTTAAAACATTCATATATTACTGCATGTTGTTCAACGACAGTGTCTAACTTCGCTTATCCCGCTTCTCCTGTTACTATGGTAAAGCCCGTCCAGGACCAGGCTACACGTGATAAAAATTATCCAATGAGCTGCTGTCAGTCTGTGTTGCTGCTGCTGCTACTTTTAGACACAGCAGGCAAACCTGTGGCAAGCCGGGCGATGGGAAAAGAAGGAGAAGATGATGAGAAAAAGAGAGCAGAGAAAGTGTGGACTGCTGGAAGAACTGCGGTGAACTGGTGACAGAAAAGTGAAATGGTGCTCAAAGATGACCCTGAACATTTAGAGGATGTTTGAATCAACCTGCTGCTGTGAAGCAGGATTCTCCACCATGAACAGAATCAAAAATAAACATGGATCCAGGCTCAAAATGAGCACCTTGATATGTGCTTTAGAATGGCTTTGTCTCCATTTAAACCCAGGTTTAAAGCCTTGCAGGGCAGCATAAAGCCCACCGCTCTCATTAAGCCATAGAAAAGAAAGAAAATAACAAACAAACATTCAGTTCAGGTGTTTTATAAAATGTTTAAATCAGGAAATTGTGTATATAACAAACTGAACGATTGTTCTACTTTAGATTTAAAAAAAAAATAACATGGATTCATAAAAAGCTCATGTTATTTCAGTGTTAAATTCTGTTTAAAGTAATGGATTATAATTAAAAATGACTCTGGACCTTTACTGGTTGATCATTTTCTTTATATCTTTTCCTCCATTTCATGATAAAATTGACACAAAACAAATCTCAAGTATTAAACAAAGAAGAAACATTTATTGAAAAAACAAACAAAACATCAATAGATTGTCAGATTCTTTTTATAATGTAGATTGAGAAAGAAAAATCAATATATGCCAAAGGAATCGATGCAAACATCAACAGCACCTATCAGGGATCGGTTAGACTGATTTATAAATTAATTGGCATTTGTTTAAAAAAAAAGAAAGAAAGAAAATCGATTGATCTCCAGCTTTGCTAGCTCTAGGAGTAAATAATCTTAATTTTATTTGTTTTATAGGATATGCGGATAAAAGGAAAACAAAACAATGAGAGTAAAGTAGATGTTGAACATTCTTCACGATAATCTAACTTCTAATAGGCTTAAATGTGTAATATTCTTTAGAGACCTTTAAGGTTTTCATTCCTGTCTTCCTCCTGCAGGTTAAACAGTTTTGAACATATTTGATCCATGTGGGGCCATTATTCACTCCAGCACCATTATCAGTGACCTTATAGTTTGGAAACTCCCCCGCGCTCACCCTGTGCCCTCTCTCTCACACCTCGCAGTCAAAGTGCCTGTTAAAGCAGGAAACCTGGGCCAGAAATCCCACCTTGGGAATCGATTTCGCCCATTAGTTTAGACTGAAACATGTGAAGAACAGCAGACGGCTTCAACTTTCCTGACTTCTTCTCCAGACAAGTAATCAATCTGCAGCAATGTCACTGTCCCGCTGTCATGGCAACCAGTTGGTCTTTCAGCAGAACCTGAATTTCTGTGATCTCTGCTACTAATAAAGCATATGTGCTTTGTGTTTGATCTCTGCTCTCCACCAAGGCTTCATTACCTCTCTGATGGGGGATAGTTGGACCCTGATATCTGCTGGGCTGTAAACATCAACTTTAAATCATAACAACATCATAGAAAGTTTGTATGCAGCCTATAAGATAAGAAATGTTATATATTTGATTGGAGATGATTAGGTTGCCATTGCAATATTGCTGAGTGGATTAAAGAAAACTTAAAATACAACATTAAATTTATTTATTTATATATATTTAAGCGTCAGGAGTTTAAGTTCTAATTATGCTCAAATATATTTGACCAATTGATCAGACTGTTAGGCTTCAGTCACTCAGCAGCTCAGTGCGACCTGTCTTTTCCTGGCAGGCCCAAATTCAACCTGATATCAGTAAATTGGACCACTTTTATATGTGGTGCTACATCTGACAGATTTCCAACACTTTTCATAGCCTCTGCGATCATTAAATGAATCTGGCATTTGATCAGAGGCTCTGACTGAGAGTCTACATGGACTTCTCTCCCTGCAGCAGCCGCTGCTCCTCAGAAGCTTTGTAAATAGAGTTTCCCTCTGTTGTCTTACCTGTAATTCTCTCATTACAATGTTGTCCTGATCTGTGTTGTGCATGAGCGTGTTCATTGAATGACGTTCATTGAATACTTCATATTTTAAATGAATGGTGAACTGATCAGCTTTCAAGTCATGCACATGAACAGGAGCGGCGTTCACTCAGAGAATAATGAATGACACACACAGCGATTAATTGATAACGACACTTTTCATTAGATAGGTCAGTTTTCATTGGTCAGCTTTTCTCACGGAAAACAGCATGACAGAGTAGCATGTCTACTGCTAGTACTGGTCTTCATCATTCAGACTCTGAATCTGCTGGTATTTCTTTTTTTTTTTTTGAACAAATTTTTTTTATTATTTTTCCAAATAATACAGTGAGGTACGAATGTAGATGTGTATTTTTACACTTTTAAACATAAAATACAGAACACAAACAACAGAGTGATTTCAAGAGTATGAGAGGTACAGGTTCCGGTCTTTGAGAGTTAGGGAAAAAAAAAAAAAAAAAGAAAATCATTGCATCATTAGAGGTACGACAGGTTTCCAACTTTTAATGAATGTGGAGAGAATATGTTATCTGTTCCATTTGGTATATATCACAGACCTTCTGAATCCATATATTGTAGGAAGGGGGCTCGGGTTTGAGCCATCTGATTGTTATACATTTTAGAGCAGCTGTTAATAATATATTCAAAAGATATTTTTCATCTCGTGTAATAATAGTTGTAGGTGTTACTCCCAATAAGGCGATGTCTGTATTGAATGGAATTTCCTGTTTGAAGATTATTTTTAGGGCATCAACAATGTCTTTCCAAAACAAATTTAATTTAGGGCATTGCCAAAATATGTGTGTATGATTAGCATTATCAGTTCCACATTTTCTCCAACATAATCCTGAATACATCGGCCCCATTTTAGCCGATATAGCTGGTGTTCTAAAAAATGTAGTTACAGCTTTCCATTTGAATTCTCGCCAAGTGTTTGAATTTGTGACAAGGTGTGACTCCGTACATATTTCTTCCCAAGTCTCGTCTGATATATTTATCGAGGTCTCTGCTTCCTATCTTTGTTTAATATTTAGTGAGTTACAAGTACTTATATGATATATTTTTATCTCTAAGTTACCAATATTTTTTTGTCTTCATTGAACACTTATTAACAAGAAATTGTTCTATAGGATTGGAATGTAGAATTTTTTCCCAGTCTTTATGGGACATTAGAAATTATCTCAGTTGCAAATATCTAAAAAAGTCTGTATTGGGGAGACCAAAGTCAACCTTTAGTTTCTCAAATGTTTTAATATTGCCATCTTTGATCTGTTGACATAGGTATGTTAAGTTGTATTCTATTTTTTAAAGCCATTATCCAATACGTTGGGGAGAAAGGTTTTCATTAAACCAATGTTTGTCAGTGCTGAGAGGTTCTTGGGCAATTTGTATGATGACCGTATTTTATTTCAAATATTAAGTGTATGTTTAGTCCAACCAGTCATTTCTTTAACTTGAACATCTAAAAATGGTAATTCTTGTAAGGGTTCTGCACATTTGCTATTTTCTATGTTTATCTGCTGGTATTTCTAATGCCAGTTTAGCAGAACGCTTGGCAGAGATTCATGAACTAACAAAGATAGACTTGGACAAAAAAAAAACAACAAGTCGGGTTTTTAATGCAAACTGTGCCCACACGGACTTAATAAACAAGTCCGTACGTCAGCCACGTCTACCGCAAGTATAAAGTGACACGTAGAGTTAAAGCATCCGAGCTATCTTGCTGCTACTGAATGAGGAACAGAAGAAATAATTTTGGATCCAGATCTTTTCAGCAGAACCTGAATGTTCCTCTAGGTCTCTGAAGTTCTGTGTAGTTTGGCTAAATAAAGGCTTCAGTGCACATCCATTATACCTTGACTGCAGTGAATATTTTCCAGTTCTTGCTATAAATCATGATCACACATTTAAATGGTGAAATATGGGGTTCTACTGTGCAGAAATGCTGCTTAATTTACTAAATGAACTTAAACTAGTTCATTTATAGGCTTGTTAACTTTTTTCATTTAAAAAAAAAAAAAAAAAAGGAGACTAAACGTGAGCTAGTTTATTTTCATCTGTGTGAACCGAACTTTGAGCTAGTTCTTTTTAACTATGAACTGGCACCACATTGGTCAGGATATAGTTTGCTGCCGTTGCTTAGCAATTAGGAATGAACGATCCACATTATTTTCATGCAATCCACAAGTCTGATACTTGAAGGCCAATAAATGTCATCATTATTGTTGATCATAAACTCTCAACAAGAAAGTAGGATATGTATCAACATACACATGTATGTCACTAAAGGTGACTTAGGATTAGTAGACGATTAAAAAGAGACTTTAGAAACGTGTTACATTGTGTTAAAACTGGTTAAACTTCACTTCATTATAAGACGGGTAAACTTTTCAGCTGAGATTTTTAACCTAACTTAAATTAAATGTAGATTTAATTCTGCATATTGGTACCAAAACAGGTGTTG